TTTTGAAAGAAAAATCTAATCTCTTTTGCCCTCTAATTTCTCTTTGTAAGAGTTCAATCTGCCATGATGGTTAGTTTGATTTTCTAGATGAACAACTCCCTGCACCCTACTTATCTTTTTAGAAAATGTAGTCTGCTTATCCCTTGGAAATGATGCCCCGTCATGATGCAGAATTATATAGAAAGGGATTTTGATCTTTTGGTTGTAGAGATTCAAAGACGTCTTCTTTTTATATCTGCCTTCATTAACTCTCTACTAGTTCCTCTGTGATAGTTGAAATTGTTGACTTTTCCAAGTCAGGTAATCACGTGATTTTTTTTTTCTGAGAATAGACTTTCAAAAGTCTGCTGACTTTGTACTCTGGGCTTTGTGATCCATGGTGAGCATTTAGAAGCTAGGCCCAATCGAATTCTTCTTGTAGTTATTTTTCAATATTCTTTAGTGGTCGATTGCCATCTAATTTTGATGTTTTTACAAATCTTCCATTTCGTCAAAGCCCAGTCTTCTGTTTCCCTGTTCCTGGGCTTCTCTGTGAGAAGTGGGCTGGCGCGTGAATTCTTTTAGGCCCAAACAATGCCCCCTTAAGTCTGAATCGTTTTTAAAATGGTTTCAGACTTAATGATTGCCCAATCAATGATGCACGCCATTTCCTACTGTTGCACTAGCACACGTCTGCCTATTCAATTAGGTTTCCTGGGGAAATGGGTTCTAACGGCTAATTAAATCTGAACAAAACTCCTTTCTTCCCACTCTCCCTCGATTTTCCTGCTTAGTTTATAAAATTTGCCGAACTCCACTACCGTTCATCAAAACCTAGCTCTGTCTCAACTTCCATTTCCTTTGAATTTGTTCTTTTCGGTTATGTTCCTTTCAATTCCCCTCTGTTCGTCTGAATTTTGGGAAAAAATGTCTTCTCCAAACACTCGTGCAAGGGTTCTTCTTCTTCACGCTCTCTTGCCTATCTCATTGGAGATGGCGTCAACAATCATGCAATAGAGGTTCGAAACAAGCTTCATCCATTTGCGCAAAAGAATCTGGACGAAAACATCCTCCATCTTTTCGAGAAAACCCTTGTTCTAGGGCCTCATTGGTTTGGTCTTGTACCAAAGAGGATGGCCATCTTGTTCAGGGATGATGTTGAGGCCCCTCTGTGCTATTAAAGCTCTACTTCTCTGGCCTCTCACACCTGGGTCCGGAAGAACCTGAGTCGTTCGTTTCCTTTAAGCAAAGTGAGGAATAACGTGATGAAATGGTCAGACTGGATTGATAGGCTTCTTCCAACGCATGGAGCTCACCGAAAGAGGGCTGGTATTTACGATGCAATCCTTCTGTCCTAGCAATCCATTAATAGAGATGAGAATCTTCTGGCTGCTGCTCTGTGTTTTTGGAATTCTGCTAGCAACACCTTTGACTTCTGCCTTGGTCCTATGACTCCAACCTTGCTGGACATGGCTCAGATCTTTGGTTTTAGACCTCATGGAAGGCATGTGGACGCAGTTGGTGATTACCACAGGGGGAAAATCAAGAAAAACTAGCCAAGCCATTCACCATTTCTCATGCTGCAATCAATCAGAACTGCTCGTTCTCGAATTATCTGAAGAAGTTCAGCATAGAAAGAGATAGAGATTAGTAGCACATGTTGTTCCTCCTGTATTAGCTGAATAGGTTTATCTTTCCCAACTGTTCCTCAGTAGTTTTGCATAATCACACGGATGTGGGGCTTGGGCCAATAGTTCTAGCTCATCTATACAAGAATTTTCATACTGCCACCTTGGAAAATCCTCTGAATCTGTCTGCTCCTAGCGCATTGTGGATGATCCAGATCTGGCTACAAGTGTACTTCCCAGAACTGAGGTTTCTTGACATTGTTCTGCCTGAAGAACAAGTCATGGCTCATTTGTTGATGTCAGTAGAAGTGCCCAAGCGCTCTATTGAGGAATATATGGTGTTTTTTAGGCACTTCACCAAGAGATCTACTACATAGTGTCAAGTGGTGCTCAGGAGGACCTACCCTTGGTTTCAGCTTGGGTACAGACTGTTTGAGAAAGAGCCAGAAGAAGAAGAAGCTAGGATTGATTTCAGGAAGAAGTTCCTGAGTGTAATGCTGCCTAAGGACATGCCATTTGGTGGAGGCAAACCTCCCAACTGTCATCTGGGGGCAGAAGTTTATCACCCCAATTTCTGCGCTAGGCAACTTGGTTGTCCTTAGCTAATTCCTCTCAAGTCATACAGAAGTTGTAACCAGGCTACCTCTTGGAGGGATTCAGACGACCTAAATGTGCATAAGGATTGCAGATGCTCAGTTAATAAAATTAACAACAGTGTGAATGCTCTCTACCTATCATGGGAGCCTAATTCCTGCAGTTCTGTAGACTTTGACGCTTGGTGGAAAGCCAGATTCCAAGGTCTTTCTGCCTCAAGTACTGCCCTCAAAGTGCTTTTTGATGGCTCGGACTCTTGGACCGTCTATGCAGGGGCAGAGGCCAAGAATTTTATGGTGCAGATGATAAAAGACATTATTGCACAAGTCATTGAAGGTATATTCTTCATTCAGCCTCTTTTTCCTCTGTTCTGTTCCTATCAGTCCTATTTTGCCTATATTATGATGTCTAACAATCTGTTCTACCTGTACCAGATCCCTCTATGACACAAAGCATTGGAAGCCAGGCTGTCCACTCTGGAGAAGTGATTGGTAAGTTTCCTAAATTCTGTCCTTCTATATTTTCCTGCTGGATTGCCTCCTAATTTCTTCTTTTCTGTGTAGTTAATTCTGTCATAGCTACTGGGGACCTAGAGCTTCCTTTTGGAGATGATGAAGATCAACATGAGTCCTTGGCAGAGTAGCCAGTTGTTGAGGCCACTAGAAGGAAAAGAAAAGAAGCTGCTCCTGCTCTGGACAATGCTGTCCAGCCTAAAGTTTTTGGTAAGACTTTGATATCTTGAACTTTTTGATTCTATTATGTTCTGTTCCGCCTATTTTCCTAACCCCTTTCTTGTTTTTGCAGTTGAAAGTCCTCATCCTCCTTCTACTAGGTCAAAAAGAATTAGGAAATGGACTGCAGTGGAATCTGAGGAGACAGAAGAGCATGCAGCTGTTCCTACTGAAACTTCTGGAACTGATGAAGACCTAAGGGAAGCTTTTGAAGCTGTAGAGCAGGAGAAGGAACAAGAAAAAAAAAACAAGAAGACGTTCCCACAAAAGAGAAAGAAAAAGAGTTTTAAGAAGAGGTGAGACTCCATTCTGGCCGTATGATTATTTT